CGCAGAAGCTGGAGGCGCGCCTGGAGCAGCTGGAGCTGGAGTTGGAGCAGCTGCTGCCGATCTCGGCCGCCCTTTCGGCGCCGCGCTTCACCGTCGATCCGCGCCGCATGCACGGCCGCGCCGTCAGCCTGCCTGCCTGGTGCAGCAAGATCTCCACGCTGCTCAAGAGCATGGCCACGCTGCTGGCCGCGCTGGGCGGCCGGCCCGCGCACCTGGCCGAGCTGCTGGCCGCCGACACGGGCCAGCCGCTGGCACCGCTGCCCGACGCGCCCTGGCGGCCGGGCCCGCTCTGCCTGGGCCGCTCGCACTCGCTCAGCTGGTGCCGCGAGGCCGTGGCGCGCGAGATCCTCGAGTGCGGCGTCTCCGTGCAGCACCTCCGCGCCGTCTACGAGCTGCGCGCCCAGGGCTCGGCGCCCGCGCGCGGCTCGCGCCGCAAGCTCTCGCTTCCTGGCGGCGCCTCCGGCCGAGAACCCATCCTAGAGGAGGACTACGTGGCGGCCGGCGCCGGGGAAGCGAGCGCCCCCGCCGCCAACGGCTTGCCGGCCGCGGGGGACTCCCTTAGCGCCCCGGGCCCGCCCGACGCGCCCGGCCACCAGGCGGCGCTGCCTGAGCCGGAGCAGCCGGCGCGCCGGCCACCGCTCTCCACCGAGCTGCGCGGCGTCCAGGACTACATAGATATGCGCAAGGAGCGCATCGTCTACCTCTTCCTGGAGCACTGGCGCAAGTGGACCTTCCGCGGCCCCGGGCGCCGTGCCCAGGCGCGCCTACGCAGACTGCTGCCCCGCGTGGTGGCCGCCGGCGCGGGCTCCGTCCCCGAGGCCGCTGAGGCACCCGGGCCGCCGGCAGGCGACGGCGCCGACGGGCGGCTGCTGCGCCTGCTGAAGCAGCGGCAGGTGGTGGGCAAGCTGCTGGGCCACTGGCGGAGCCTGCTGCGGCAGGTGCCCGCGCGGCCCCCGTGCGGCTCGGGTCTGGCGCACGGCCTGTACTGGCCTGAGCACTTCCTGCCGCCCCTCGACGGCGGCGCGCCCCCACGCTACGACAGCCTCACGCTCGACCTCTTCATGCTTGGCTACTTCCAGCTGCTCGAGATGGGCCTGAGCCGAGAGGAGCGCAAGTTCCGCCACCTGCTGTGCTACGAGATGTTCGACCGGCTGGGCAGCCACCCGTGGGAGCTCATCCGCCGCTTCCACCGCGTCGTGCTCGAGGAGGTGGAGGCTGGCCGGCGCAGCTGGAGCGACGGCTTTGAGGACCTCAGGCGCCAGTTCTTTGGGGACAGCCCGGAGGCTGAGCCGGCGCGGGAAGAAGAGGCCGAGGAGGAGCGAGAGGAGGAGGAGGAGAAGGAGCCGGCGGAAAAGGTCGCTTCGGCCCAGACGGTGGACTGGCCAGAGGGGCAGCCCGAGGCCCCAGCTCCTGCGCCACAGCCTCCGACCCCACCTCCGCCAGCCGCGCCTCCCCCGACGTGGGACCCTCCTAGTCGCGAAGCCCCTGTCGAAGATCCCCTGGAGCTGGTGTCTGAGATGGGCGAGTTCAGCAATGAGGACATCTGCCGCTATATTGACCGCAGCTTCTCCTTCTGGAAGGAGAAGGAGGCAGAGCTCTTTGACATCTGAGAATTTGGAATTTCCACTCAAGCATCTTAACCCCGGGCCAGATACCTGTCTGATGCCCTCCGGAGGCCAGAAGCCGGCAGGAAGAACCCAGAAGCCGGCGGGGTGGCCTTGGAAAACCCAGAGTGCCCAGGAGGACCAGGCTGCCACAGCCTTTGAAACCCCACCATGGCCAAATGTGGGGCAGTGGCCAGAATGGGCAGGGCAGGGCACAGGGCAAGCCAGCTGTCCCCCCCCCACCCCCCCACCCCCCGGTCCTACAGTCCTGCCTAGCTCTGTGTTGGAGCCAGGTTGAAGAAGCAGGCCCCCTGAGTGAGGGACCATGGGTCCCCCTTGGGGCAGTGTGGCTCTCCTCTCTTGGTTTTTCACTGGAATTCACAGCTACTTCTTTGAGGTCAAGGGAGCCACGTGTGTAGTGTTCTGTGTGACGTGTTCTCCTCTGTAAACATCCAAGTAATAAAACTCTTTGCTGTAAGCCGCCTGTGTTGGATGCCCGCTCCCCTGCTCCTGCCAAGTCAATGCAGCCACACAGTGGTAGAGGTAGTGTCTACTCCACTTGGGAACAGGACACACATGGCCCAGAAGATTCTTCACAGTGGAGGCCACTTTGAGCCTGTGGGGGCCCAAGGATGTTTCTACCCAGAGTCTGGGTTGGGGGCCTGGGGCCATCTGTCATCCTGCCCCAGTGGAGAAGCTCATTCTCTGGTCCTTTCCTACACCTTAGCTCTGACCTCTCTGGCGCCCCCTCTAGGACACAGGGGGCTGGAATTACAAGGGGGCAGAGCCCTTTAAGGGGACCATGGCCAGGCAACTTTATCGATTTGCCCTGTGAAAGGACATCCGTATCCCATTGTCCCTGACTCTTGCAGGTCTCCCGGGTTTGGGGGTGCCTCCTCTGGCCCCCTACCTCCTAGCCCATGCTGGTCCTAAAGCTCGACGATTGTGTTTCAGGAGGAAGAGGAGGAAGCCCGGCTGGCCAGCATGCCTGCATGGAGGCGAGACCTCCTGCGGAAGAAGCTAGAAGAGGAGAGGTGAGTTGGGTAATCAGAAGCTTCAGGGCCTGGTAGGATGTCTTGATCTTGTGTCTGCTGTGGTGGCACCAGATAATGCTGTCTCTTTTTCCTTCCAGGGAGCAGAAGCGGTGAGTTGGGACTGGGCCAGACCTGCCACCCCTCCCCAAACCTCCTTAGTCTTTTGCCTCTTCATCCAGCCCCATCTTGAGCACATCTCCTTGTCACTCTAGTCTGTAACACAACCTCTCTGCTTCCAATGATGCCACCAGACCTCTCTCCCCCAATAAGCCCCTGTCCCAAAGTCTATATCTTATCCCCTAACAACCTTTGGTTAACCCAACCTCAGTGTCAATAACCTTGCGCTGTCCCTCAAAACATAGTTCCTGCCCCCAGGAATCTAGCCCAGTGCAGACAGAAATATAATGTGAGCCACTATGTAATTTTAAATTCTCTTGTAGCCACTTTGAAAAAGTAAAAAGATATAGGTGAACATGTGTATCTTATTTAACTCAATATATAGAAATATCACTTCAATAAATAATGTAAAAGTTATGAAATATATATATATACATATAAGCATAGTGTTTGAAATGCCAGGTGCATTTTACACCTACAATGCTTCTCATTCTGACATTTCAGATGCTTAGTGGCCTCATGTATTTAGTGGCTGCCTTGTCAGCAGCACAGATCTAGCCCCTACTTTTTTAAGACTTTATTTGTTCATGAGAGACACAGAGAGAGGCAGAGACATAGGCAGAGGGAGAAGCAGGCTCCCTTTGGGGAGCCCCATGTGGGACTGGATCCCAGGACCCCTGGGATCACACCCTGAGCCACCCAGGAGCACCAGCCCCTATTTTATAATAACTGTTCTGAATTACCCACCACTGCGTCTCAGTACTGTGGTCCCTCTGTTCTCCAGCAGCCCAGCCCCAGCCTCGCATCTCAGGTCCTGCCCCCAGACACCCCCTCCTCACCCTCTGCCACACCTCCTGACCCAGCACTACTATTTCCTGTAAAAGCCCAGCCTGCAATAACGAATCCACAGCCTCTCACTCACTCAGCTCCTCAACCAAGACCTTCTGTGTTCATCAGCCCTGCCCTTATGCTTCCTGACCCCCAGTCCCCGGTCCCCCAGCCCTTCTGCCCCCAGAACCCCTTGCCCTGGCCACCAAGAATTAGTCCCTCTGTCCTCAGCAACCCAGCTCCTGCCCCCACCCGTGACCCCCCCCCCCAGGGTGCCTGGCCCACCCCCCTCACAGTTGCCGGGGGTTTCTGCCCCTACATCATGCCTAGAAAAGAGGAGGAGCGACAGAAGCAGGAGGAGCTGCAGAGGGAGAAAGAGCAGTCGGAGAAGTTGCGGACGCTGGGCTACGACGAGACCAAGCTGGCGCCCTGGCAGCGACAGATCATCCTGAAGAAGGGGGACATCGCTAAGTACTAGATGCAGCCCTCCTCTCGCAGCCCCGTGAGCTCGAGGGGCCCCAGCCTCCGCCCTGGCCTCGGGGCGGAAGGGCTGGGAGCCGCGCTGCCTTCCCCTCCCGCGCTGGAACCTCTCCCTGACCCCGCTCCGGCCCCCGCACCCCCAGCCCGGGGCGACGCTGGAGCGCGCCCGCCGCCACCGCCGCTGGGGCCCAGAAAAAGTGCCCAAGCCAGCTGCTGACGCAAAAAGCTGCTGATTTGCATGTTGATTTACGTATATTTGCATGTTCGTTGAACGCCTCGCAGAGCTCTCCCGGCCCCGTGGGTGGCGACCTGGTCTCCCCGCGGGGCGTGCGCCCGGCCGCAGCCCCCTCCCCCGCACCCCGGAACCCGCGTGGCTGGCGCATCCTGGGCGGAGGCAGGCCCCGCGCTCGGGGAAGGGGTTTTCCTCCCGTCCTGACCCAGATCTGCGCCCGGCCCGCCCGGGCCACATTTCCCATCCCCGCCGAGGGCTTCCTCTCAGTCATTTGTTTACCAGAAGCGATGAAAACAGCAACCTGCCCGTCGGGACGGGGCTGCCGCTCCGGGGCCCATTCCCTGCCCCCCCACCCCCCACCCCCCACCCCGGCCCCTTCCGCAGCGCCGGGGGAGAGGCGGGGGCGGGGGGCCCTGCACCGCGCGCGTCTCCACCTGCTTCCTCCCCCTCCTGCTCCCGCCATCCCGCACCCCCATTAAAGCTCTCTCAGCCACCGGGGCTGACGTCCGCTCTCTCGCGCCGTCGCCGCGACTTCCTCTCGCTATCGGGGTAACTGGGCCACGGCCGCGCGGGAGGGGCAGCTGGGAGCCAGGCGCCGCACTGGCCTCCACCGTGGGTGCCCGACCCTGGGCGGCGAGGCTTCCGGCCCCCTTCCGACGCCCCCAGGAAACCGAGGCCGGGCCCCGCCGAAACAGCACGCAGTAGTTTTTCTTCACAGATTTAATATGAGGGCCTCAGCGAGGTCAGGCCCAGCCACCGCTGAGCGTCTGCCCCCTCTGCGAGGCGTCCACGCCTCTCGGCCTTGACCAGAAGCCCGGGGTCGCGCAGCGGGGAGGGCGCTGGGCGCTGCTACGCAGGGCCGCGCCGGGAGCTTATTAAGTGACATAAGATGTCTACACGCATAAGTAACCGTACTTAGGGCTTCCGCAGGGGCCGCCGGGGCCCGGGGCCGGCGGCTGGGCCCCCGAGTCACGGGCCGCGCTGCAGGCGGCTGCGCAGGTCCTCGGCGCAGCCGTCCAGCCCCATGCGCTCCAGCGCCGCGTAGACGGCGCCCAAGCCCGCGGGCTGCTGCTGCCGCCAGCGCTTGAGCATCTCGTACTGCTGGTCGCGGAAGCGGCCGACCTCCACCTCCACGGCCTCGATTTCCGCCTCGCGCAGCCCCAGCGTGCGCACGAACTCCTTCCAGCGCCGCGCGGGCACCGCGTCCATCACGTCGTAGAGCTGCGGGCCCGGCTGGAGCGTGGCGGCCGCGGAGCCTGCAGGGGGCGCTGGCGAAGGTGGCGGCGGCGGCTCTGGGGGCGGGCCAGAGAGCGCCAGTGGGGGGAGTGCGATCTGCGGCCTTGGGGGCGGCGGGAGCCCCAGGCAGGGCCCGCCAGGGAGCTCCACCCGTTCAACTAGGGATGGGAAGAGGGCAGCTGGTGCGCAGGAAGCTAGTACTCATCTCGGGCTCGGGAGAGTGGGGTCGGGTCTCAGGCCAGGGAGGTCTCTTACCGAGAGCTCTGCTGTGCATCTGGTCCCAGGGCCATGTCACCTCCGGACAGGGCGCCTCCTGGCTCAGGGGGGAACCAGGGGTCCAGCCGTTGCCCACCAACTGGACAGCGCGGACTTTCTCACTACTGCTGAGGGGCACTAGAAGGGTGTGCGCGCTGTCCCTGGTTGAGAGTTGGGTGGCCTGGAAGCAGAGAGAAGCCCCAGGTCAGCCCAGCTTGCTAAGTAAGGCCCCTTTTCTGAGGTCTCTGGCCAGGAGTGGCCGGCCATTCCTTGGCTCAGTCAGCAAACATTCTCCAAGACTGCCTCCCGCAGTTGGCCATAATCTTTCACTGTGGCTCAGAAGAACTTTTTCCTCTGCCTGGAATACCCTGCCCTGGCTACCCTTCTCTGGGCTCCCTTGACCCTGCCCAAGGCCTGGCCATGGTGGCACTCATCCCACTGAACCTGTCTGGACCCCATCAGATTGAGAGCCACTTAGAGGAAGGTGCATGCTGTACTCCGTCACTGATAACTCAGTGACCTCACAGATGTCCATTAGATCTACTCTGCCAGCACCTGTGCCACACACTGGGGATGATGAGTTATAATAAGGCCCAACCTTTTGCTCCCTCTCTTCCCAGAATATTACTTATATGCTTACCTGTAGAGTCAAGGCCTCCATCCCAGCTTCATCTGCTGAGAGACAAAGAGCATCTCATCAGCAACCAGGCAAGACTCCTAGAGTGCTGGCCCACCCCCTCTTGTATTCCCCTGTACCACCCCTGCCCCCAGCACTCCCTCCCTCAGTCTCCCCACTCTGCATCAGGAGTCAATGGGCTCTCAGCTACCCAAGCTGACCCTGTGCCTCTACAAAATGTGTGTGTGCAGCCTGAACTTACTAGGAACCACGGGCTTGCAAGGTTGGCAGCGGTGGTATGTGTAAGTCAGGGTAGCACCAAGCAGGAGTGGGACCACCAGGCCAGCCAGAAGCACCTGGACCCAGAACACTGAGAACAGCTGGTGAGTGGTGAGTAGTTACCCCCCACCCCCAAATTCCCCTTGGCCCATCCCAGCCATCCTGCTCAAATTCCCAGCACACCACCTACTCTGCCTCCAGCCACAGACAGTCACACATGGCTCAGGACAGCTCCCAAGGGTGCTCCTGCAAGGAGAAGGGATGGGGTGGGAGGTGAGGAGCACTCATCAAGGGGGGCTACCCGTCTTCTCCATCCCGGAGGCCCTTCCCTCCCCAGGCCTCTTCTCTGGGAGCCACACTTCCCACAACCACTATTTATGGAGCTTCCTGTAGACTGGGATTTGCCTACTTTATTCCCTGTCATATTCCCAGCACCTAGAACATCTCTGGAAAATGGTAGATGCTTAATACATACTTGGCTAAGCAGATGAATCAATAAAGTGCTTTACCGCTTAATCTTAGCTCTGGGGAGAACCTACTAACATCACCATGTTCACCTGGGGAAGCCAGAGATCAGAGAGGCAAAGTAACTTCCCCAGGGTCTCCCAGAGAGCAAGTGGCAGATCTCGAATCTTAGCCCAAGATTTGAAAGTGTATCAACATGATTCTATCAATTGACAAATCCTACGCTCCCTTAACATACAGCTGGAAAGATTACTACAGGAAAGTCTGACAGAAGGTGAAGAGACTCCCCCCATTTATCTGTCCTAAGGTGAACGCAGATTTCCCTTTAGCATCCAAGGACCAAGCTCCCATTCTGCTCCCAGCCTCCCTCTCCCTGTCCTGGGGCAGCCAGGAAGTTACGTGGGGCAGGACACGCAGCTGTTGCCATATTCATAGAAGCCAGGCAGGCAGGTCCCACAGTCGCTATCTCTGGCAGAACCTGCAGTCCAGGAAATGATTTGTGGGTCGGGAAGGGAGAGACGGAATTAGGGAGAAGGTATTGGGTGGAGTAGGTAGGTAGCCCAGAGTGGGGGTACTCACAGGGCACCCGTGTGTGGCGGTGCAGAGCCCTGCAGTCTGAGCATGGATGGCAGCGGAAGGGAGAGCCAGCCTTGCAGGGCTTGACCAAGCACTCCAGGAACCAGCCTGGCTCACAGCCACAGTGGGTGTCTGCCACCATCGAGCAGTTCTTCAGGGCCACCTGGGAGACTGGCAAGATTGTTCAGAGATGGGGAGAATGGAGGCCTTCAGAGCCAGAGGCCCCCGATGGGGGCGGGGGGGGGCACAAATCCCCTGGGAAATGGAAATAGGGCCACCCGCAAAGGGAGAGAAGCATGGAGATGACCACAGATCACAGGCACACGGGATCCCTGGGTGGCGCAGCGGTTTGGCGCCTGCCTTTGGCCCAGGGCGCGATCCTGGAGACCCGGGATCAAATCCCACATCGGGCTCCCGGTGCATGGAGCCTGCTTCTCCCTCTGCCTGTGTCTCTGCCTCTCTCTCTCTCTGTGTGACTATCATAAATAAATAAAAATTAAAAAAAAAAAAAAGATCACAGGCACACAGAGATAGGAGGGTCACCAGGATGAGAGAAGGCAAAGGCATCATAGGGCAGGATCACTATGGAGAGCCTGGGAGAGGTGGGCACAGGGATTGTCACACCCAGAGGTTAAGCCCAAACCTGCCCCCTTCTTCAGAAATACCCTGGCCATGGCCTGTCCTCAAGAGCCCCACACTGAGCACTAGGGTTCTCACCCTCCTCGTCACAGGCCTGGCAGCGGGTACAGCGGGTCTCATGGTGGTTCTCCCTGGCCAGGAAGGTGCCCCCGGGACATGGAAGGCAGATGGCCGGACCACAGGGCTTCAAGCAGGGGCCTTTCAGGTAGTGCCCTATGGAAACAAGACCCAAGTCAGATAGTCAAAGGGGGTTCCCACATCTTTCCCCTCTGGCTTCCTACTGCCCCCACCCTGGCCTCCCCTGTCTTCTGACCCCAACTTACCCCCATCTTCCTCTGTCTGCCCTCACTTCCCCCCTCACCCCTCCCGCCTCTGCAGCTACTCACCTGCTGGACAGCCCTTGCAACAGAACAGACCGTTCCTCTTCTGGAAATTGTAGGCACAGTTGCACCTAGGAGCAGGAGTGCTGTGCTGGCCCTGGGCGCCCAGCAGTGCCAGGAGCAGGACCTGGAGGAAGGGCACTGCTCACTCCATCAGGGCTGCTGCACAGGCCCTGCCCTGCCCTGTCTCCCCCACCTCAGGGGGCCCCACACTTGCCCACAGAGCAGCCCACTTCTCGGGCTCTTGAGAAGAGGCGCCCGTGGATGCAGGAAATGTGGGGAAAGCCAGCTTCCCTCGCCGGGCGCAGACCAGGCTCGGAGCAGCAGAGCAGAGGTCTCCGGCCAGCTCTGAGCACATTTCCCCTCCTCCACTAGATCATCGGAGCAGGCTCAGGCAGCCCCATCCCCACTCGGGATCTTTCTAAGGTGGGGGACCTAGCTCTTTCCCTGCTTGGGGCCCCTAGACCCCTCCAGGCTCCGGGCGGAGGTTTCCTTTCAGCGGAAGGGCCCCGCCCGGGTAAGCCTCTAACTAGCTGAGTCTCTAAGTCGAAAGGGAGGGTGGTGGTGGTGTTGGCACACTTCCCAAGGAAGTTGGGCCCCTTCATTCACAGCCGGCAACCCAGGCCTGAAGTCAAGCCGTTCAACCCCCTCTACTGTGCTCCCACTCACCGCAGCCACCGCTGCCGTGTAGCCCCCCAGCCGCAACTCCATGGCTCTCCGCGCCTTGCTGGGCCCTCAGACAATGGCGTGAGCCAGCCTGGGGGCTTCCCCCGCTCCGCCCGCTCTGCCTGCCTACTCTGCCCCACGCCACCCAGAGGAGCCTGCCTCGGGGGTGGGGGTCAGGGCGGAGCCCCCAGCCCACGCAGCCTGCCCCTGTGCACCTGAGCTCACCTGAGGTGGCCCCAAGGGCAGCAAGGTATACACAGGACAGGGCTGCATTCAGGTCCCCACACCTGGGTTCTAGCCTCAAGCCTGAGACTACCACTTCCAGGTGAAGTGACTTCCCTCCTTTGGGCCACACAGCCCTCCCTCAGCCATGAAGGGTTGGGTCAGAACTACTCAGGAGGAAGACCCAGCCTCCCCAGATACTGCCTGGGTGTGGGTACAGGGGCCTCTCCCCTGGAGGGGAGTCCTAGGGGGCATTCTCAGTAGAGCCTTGAGACACATCGCCCACCTTGGCATAAGCTTACAGGGACTGCCCAGGGCAGGGCCCTCTGAGGCACCTCGTGGCGGGGAGCACTTCATGGTGGTGGTGGTGGGGCTCTAGGGTGGGGGTCTAGGGTCTACCTCGTAGCTGGGGCAGGTGATGGGGTTGATCTTGGTGTGCTTGTCTGGTCACCTCTGCCCTGTTAATTCACTACTGCTCTACCGCAGTCTCCTCCAGTGGTGCCTTACCACAGATGGAAGGAGACTGGCGGGGGACAAGAGCAGGAGGCGCCTGCCTCAGAGCTCAAGAGGACCTGAGTCAGGAAAGGGGTGGGTTCCAAAAGCAAAGGACTCCTTCCAATAGTATATACAAGTCTTTATAAAAGAATCAAAAGCTCAATAAATATGCAATTTTACACAGAGCCTAACCCAAGCCTGGGGTGGCCAGTGGGACTGGGCGGGAGGGAAGGCCAGGGGAACAAACATCCCATCTGGGACCGGATGAGGGTGGAGGTGGGAAGGGCCACCCCAGAGCCCAGCCCAGAGAAGCTGGTGACTTCAAGAAGCGGGGGACCCTGTGGGGTGGGGAGTTGGGAGGGGGTGGACAGGTTAGTGAACGTGGCCTTGTGGAGGATCCTGAGGAACTACTGCAGCCTGGGCCAGGAGCTCTGCTGTACGCTCCTCCACTTCCATCCAGTCTGGCAAAGTGCAAATCAGGGTTCCTGCCCGGCACTCTGGCTCCCACAGGCACAAGCAGCAGCTGGAGCCAGGACCAGGATGCCCCAGGAGGCATGCTGTCTGCCATCTCTTGGTCAGTGGCAACCTTGGGGGCCTCCCTCTGCTCAGACCTCCCTGCAAGGGAGAGGAAGGGAGAGACAGTTCTTTTTTGGCTGATGCCATGAAGAGGAGCTCTGGCCACCCTCTCTGCCCCACTGGAATCCTTAGGCCCCTTCCCCACTGCCCACTGCAGACACTGTCATTCAGCCTCTGGAGCAGCCTCCCATCCCCATCCTTATCCCCAAATGCCATCTGCTCCCAGCCACAAGAGTGGCCCTACCCATTCCTGAGGCTCTGTGCCCCCAATGTCAGCACATTCGGCCGCCAGCCCTCTAGCCCAGGCCACTCACGAGGCAGTGAGCGTGGAGTTAAGCAGCAGGGTGGTCCTGATTCGGTACAGCTGGGCTAGCGTCAGCTTCCGGTGCTGGGCAGAGATCCCCGGAGGCGGCTCGGGCTGGACCCTGGGCGAGGCCCCCAAGGGCAGGTCTCTGCTCCTCCTGGTGGGTCTTTCGGGCTCCCCAGCCAGGCAGCTGGTTCTGCCCTCCAACTCTGATGGCTCGGGGCCACTGCTAGGGCTAGGTGTCCCCTGGCGAACCCAGCTGGGCCCAGGTTCCCGAGAAGAACCCTGAGTCCTTGTGCCACGGCCTGCCACAGCCAAGCAGAGTTCTGAAAGGCTACGGCTGGGGGCTGGGGGCGCTCCACAGGTGGTGGCCCCTGACAGCAGCTGGAGGAGGCTGGCCTCAGATTTGGACTTGAGCAGGTGGGGCAGACGGGGCAGCAGCTGAACAGGGGTGCGGCGGCGGAGGCGGGGGGAGGATGAGGGTGAAGGGGCTTGTGGTAGTTCTGGGGGCCGTGGCAATGGCTCCGCGACAGGGGCTGGGGCCATGAAGTCTTGCAGGGAGGTAGGGGAGAGGGTGCCATAGGCGGAGTCCATGGAACAGGAGCGGCCATCCACTGGGCCCAGGGGCAGCAGCTCGCTGATGGGTGTCACAGAGGAGGCAGTGGTGCTGAGAGAGGTCTCATCTGACTGGGAGCCAAAGGGGCCGCCCTCGAACTCAGGAGAGGACAGTGTCTCCCCCGGCTCCACCACAACCATGGCCAGGGTCTCTGTGGAGCCATCTGAGGCGCTGTGGAGTGAGGAGGAGACAGTCAGTCCAGCCACCTAGATGGCCTGGTGCACCCCACTCCACCCTCCCAGAGCTGGAGGCTCAGCAGTGGCAAGCATGTGGTCTACCAGCCCAACCACCCAATTCCTGTGCCCGCGACCCAGAGGCCAGGAATGGTTTCTGGCACCACCACAGTACTCCTTCCAGCTGGATACAGTTTAAGAATCCTCAGTTCAGCTCCACCCAGCTAGCCCTGGGGGATCAGAGCAGGCACTCAGACTGAAAATCTTTTGCCTTCCCCTCCCCCACATGAAGTCAATCAGAGGAAGGGGTGGTGGCTGGCCCTGCCAAGTGTCCGTGGCCTTGCAGTCAGGAGTGCTGGGCCGGAGCACATGCTCTGCTCTGGCTGCTGGGTGGGCTCAGGCGAGCATACCAGTGCTGGGAGTTGAGACTGTTGCTGCTCTTGCGCAGAATGGTGGGGGAGCTGGTGGCAGAAGTGCTACTCCCGCCTTCCTCCTCTTCCTCATCCTCCTCCTCTTCATCCTCCTCCTCCTGCTCATCGTCCTCCTCCTCCAGGCTCTGCAGGGGCTGCTGGTTGCCTGGGTGCTCCTGGACACGCAACTGCTGCAGCTGGTTCTGCAGGTGGGGGAGGGGAGTTGTGAGCAGCAGCCCCTACCGGGACACCCTGCCAACCCACCTGCCAGCCCGCCACTCAGCTCTCACCTGCGCATTGTAAATGGCCTCCACCCAGCCTCGGCACAAAGCCTGGCCGCTGGCCTGGAATGTGTAGGCACCCACAGCACTGTGGAACTCGTTCAGGTAGATGAGGAGAAAGGAGCCTAGTGAGAAGGGGCCCGCGTCAGTATGAGCTAGGACCACAGCCCCCGCCGGCCACAGCCCCTGGCCAGAAGCAACGCCAGGCTCCTCACCAGGGTCTCGAAGCTCTCGGCACACAATCTTGTCCACCAGCAGTGGTGGCCGGATGACCTTGGTCCTCTCAGCCTTCTTCACTGCCTTGGTCACCAAGAGTAGGTCCGTAAAGAGGAAGCAGTACACGTCCATCTGGGGGGTGGCAAGGGGAGAGGCCAGGCTAGGGATCAGGGCCAGGGTCCTAGGACTCAGCCAGTCTGCTATGACACCATCTCCTGGGCTGGGCCCTGCACAAGCCCTTCCTTACTGCACTCTGGTGATGTTGTAGGGGCGCTCAGATTTTACTAAACACCTTCCCTGTTCCCTGCCTCCTCTGGACCTGAGAATAAAATTAAAATGAAGAGAGGGGGGATCCCTGGGTGGCGCAGCGGTTTGGCGCCTGCCTTTGGCCCAGGGCGCGATCCTGGAGACCCAGGATCGAATCCCACATCAGGCTCCCAGTGCATGGAGCCTGCTTCTCCCTCTGCCTATGTCTCTGCGCCTCTCTCTCTCTCTCTCTCTGTGACTATCATAAATAAATAAAAATTAAAAAAAAAAAATGAAGAGAGGGGCGCCTGGGTGGCTCAGTCAGTGAAGCATCTGCCTTTGGCTCAGGTCCTGATCCCAGGGTCCTGGAATTAAGTCCTGGAGTCTGAGTTGGGCTTCCTACTCAGTGGGGAGTCTGCTTCTCTCTGTGTCCCTCCCCCTGCTTGTGCTCTCTCTCTCTCTCTCAAGTAAATAAAATCTTTAAAAAAATTAAAACGAAGAATACGATGGTATTTCTTCATGGACCTATGTATTTGTAATTTGTTTCAACAAAAAGTTTACATTAAAGAGAAAAATGGAATTTATAATATGTGGTTTTAAAATCACGATTTGGGGATCCCTGGGTGGCTCAGCAGTTTAGCACCTGCCTTTGGCCCAGGGTGTGATCCTGGAGACCCAGGATTGAATCCCACGTCAGGCTCCCTGCATGGAGCCTGCTTCTCCCTCTGCCTGCGTCTCTCTCTCTCATGAATAAATAAATAAAATATTTAATAAAAAAATAAAAATAAAAAAATAAAACCACGATTTGGGGGAGCTTGGGTGGTTTAGTAGGTTAAGTGTCCAGCTCTTGGTTTCACCTCAGGTCATGATCTCAGGATCCTGAGACTGAGCTCTGTACTCACTGGGAAGTCTGCTTCTCTACCTCTTCCTCTGCTCCCCTCCATGCTCGCATGCACTCTCTCTTTCAAATAAATAAATAAATCTTTAAAACCACAATCTGTAGGCTCTGGGTTATACACCTAGGATTAATAGCTCACGAGCAAGGCTCTGGGCCGTTCCTGACCTGCTCTTGGAAGGCACCCCCCCCCCACCAGGAACTCATAGGGCACCAGCAAGTGGGCAAGCCCAGCACCCTACCCACTGTGCCCTTGCTGCCATATCTGTAAAGAGTAAAGTGCAGGCAGATCATCAGCTGTCACATAACCAAAGTCATTCCTTCTTGAATTACCACCCAACTGACGGGGCAGCTGAGAACCCCTCACTAGGCCCCAGAAAGTCTCCAGGAAAGGGTGGGGAAGGGGCCCTGGGTGTGGGTGGCCCCTAGAGTCACCTTGCTGTCCTTCCCCTCCTTCATCCTCAGGCTCCCCTCCAGCAGCAGCTGTCGTGTCTCCTCAGGGGAGGCGCCAGGGATGGGTGCTGTAAGGTCTAGATGCAGAAACTCCTTCAGGAGCTGGCGATGGGGGCAGGGCGGGGGAGGTGCAGAGAGATCAGGGTCTGACTCCCCTTCCCCGCTAGGCATCCTCAAAGGAGGTCCCAGCACTGGCCCGGCTGCCGGCCTGGCCCTTCCTCCATCCCCGCAGGGCCGGGGGTCCCGCACTGACAGCCCCCCACCTTGTCCACCTCATCGTTGCTGCCTTCCACCACCTCGTAGGCGTCGATGCGGCTCACCACCGCCGCCAGCCGCTGCCGCTCCTGCCGCTGCCGCATGCACGCGTTCACGTGGTGGATGAAGCGCTCCACCGAGTCGATCTGGGGGCGGGGGCGGGGGCGGGGGCATCAGGACCCGGGTCCGGGAGGGGCCGCGAGCCAGGGACCCCGCCTGCGCCCCGGTTACCATGGTGACGACGGCCTCCTTGGCGCGCGGCTCGTCGGTCTTCCTCAGCACCGACTTGAGCAGCAGCGGGTACTTGGTGAGGCGCTGGTGGGGCTTGGCCAGCATGTCGCTCAGCTTCAGCCGCTGGCACTGCTGGTGCTTCTCGGCCCACTGAGGCGGGGAGGGGCGGGCTCAGGACAGGCCCCGCCCGGGCCCGGGCCCCGCCGCCCGCGCACCTGCCGCCCCGCAGCCCCGCCCGCCCTCACCGTGACGTAGGCCCGGAAAAGCTCGTTGTCGCGCAGCAGGCCACGCATGTACTCCATGCAGCCCTCCTCCTCCATGCAGTACCGGGTGTAGGG